ATATCTTAATCTTATATCTTAAAGTAACTTAAGCAGTAAGGTCCAGTCGTCATAATTATGCTTCGATGATTCAGATAAATGCATTAAATGCAAAGCAAAATTAAAAATTTTATTGAAATAAAATTTTTAATTGTCAATTCAGCACATATTGACGATTCGACAAATGACTATGTAATGAAAAATAATTAGTAAATAATTAATGACAAAATCACGTAAAATTTTTTTTTTTTTTATCAATATAATATGATTATAGATTAAGGCCGATAAATGTGTAAATCGATGCTTCCTAAATAATTAATTAATAAATAAATAAACGATATTAAAAATCAATTAATGAATTAAAGTAATTTTATTTTTATTACTTTGTTATCTATAAATTAACGAAATGACGATTTGGCTCTAAATTTTATGATAAACTTGCAAACACAAATTAACATTTACTTCTAATTTCTAGTTTAAATAAAAAATTTAAGGATATTTGATATTGTATGAAATATTTAATGTAAAATTTACCTTCCATAGAAGCAATGCTAATAGACCTAATAATAAAAGACCACAACAGATAGCTAAAATTATAATCCACCAAGGTATCATATATGGTGCATGTGCTACATCAAGTAAGCTAACTTTTGTTGATACCTGTAAATTATGAAGAAAAAAAAAGAAGTTATTTTAGTGTCAATCCAAACAAACATCACTACAAGTTTGTTAGACATTGATAGGAATTATTGAAGAAAATATGTATAGTTTGTCTAAAGTATGAACTCCCCTAGCCATTAGTCTGGACTCGTGACTTTGACTATTGTAACGAGGTATAAGGTGTGGGGTGACCGTCCAGGACAGGTTTTGGTTCTCCGTAGAAAGGGAATCGTTATCTTTTGTCTATTGTGTTATCCCTAGAGTGAAGAGAAGCTACCCTCCTTAAAATGCGCTATTCTTGTTTCCATAGTAGCAGACGGCTTCAGACCTTGTGGTGGGAGGATTTCTTACCGTAGACAAACTATAGTGGAACTATTGCATATTATTCATCATTTGTTTGACATTACATAAGCAATGTAAGAAAAAGTAAAAACGTATGAAAAAAGCAATGATATAAAATTTAAAATTGAAAGTTTAAAGATCGAAAATTCTTAAAAATATTTTGAAAATGCAAAAAATATTGTAAAACGTTTTTTTTAAATTTATTTATTTTATACCTTTAAAAACAGTGACCCGAGGTACTATTAATTTAAGATGCGACTGTTTAACAAGCAATTTTTCACATCTTCAAAACAAATTACAATACAGTAGGAATTTTGTTTCAATTCAGGTAAATCTTATAAATTAGAAGTAATGAAAAGTATTAGAAAAGAAAACACATAAGCATTATCATTAAATTTATTTAATTATACCAATCCTTTGAAGCAGAAATTTTATTTAATATATTTTCACATTTATTTTTTCATTATTTTGTGCTAATTTAAGTCAAAATAAGTGAAAAATATTATATTTAGCATTTTTATAATTCATGGTTAAGTAATACAGCATGAAACACTGGTGTTCTTCTCTTCTTTAAAGAAAAAAACTTCTAAACACGGCTCTCTTCCAAACAATAATTTTTCAAATTTGCAATTATTGGTTATTATTTAGATCGAAGAGAAACAGTTAACCATTATTGAAATTTTTTTTATTTACAAGATCCATTATGAATAAATTTTTGAATAAGAAAGATAAAAAAAAATTCAAACGACTTTTCTCGAATTTTATATTCCTAGTACAAATGTAAGTCCGATAATCTAACAGACATTTTTAGTAACTATAAAACTGTGATTTTTTTTTTTTTAAAACCCATTTGCTTCNTTTTAATTTTTTTTTTTTTTTTTTTTTTTTTACAATTTAAAAGTATCAAAATATAATTTTGCTTGTAATAAGAGTGTCGGCAGAATTTTTTTTTTTAAAGAAGGAATATTGGTGTCCCATCTGCGTTAAGGGGTTAATTTTGAAACACTAGAATGAATGAAACAAATGAAAAAAAAAGGGATCCAAAACTGTTGCAAATAAATACTAAATCTGGTATTTAAAAAAATAAAGAAATAAATACTACTCTCTCTGGGTTAATAAAGAAAAAAAGAATTTTTCTTACCACAAACACTTTATAAGGCAAATATCCGGGATCGACACCATACGGTAGAGCTGTGATGCGAGTTACAAGCTTTGAGGACGTCATTACTTCACTCAAACCAATCTAAAAAAACATACTTTAATTTTTATCACTAATTTCAGCTTTCAACAAAATTTCATTCTGACAGACATTTATAGCTTACATGCTCTTTAAGTTCATGAAATGCAATTTCGATCTTTTAATTTTGAAAATGTTTCAGAATAAGAATTGTGAAGTAATCTTTCTGAAGAAAAGCCCAATTTTCAGATTTATTTCCTCCAGGGAAAAGTTACATAAGAATCCCATAAAAATACTATCATCAATCCACGTTTTCATATTTTTCATATGACATTTGTAATTTATTACTGGAACTTAACCGGAGTTAGAGCTTCATCAATAAAATCATGGAGGTATCAAATCTGTTAGCATTTTTTTAAAAAAATGTATTTATTTTAATTTATAAATGTATTTATTATTCGATTTTTTTCTGAAGAAAGTGAAAAAAGTGACACAAATCGGGTACATATAAGGTCCTAATTAAGCAATTTGAAAAGGAAGAAACACCAAAAGATTCGTGTGTTTTTTTTTAAAAATAGGGGCATAAATACCTAAAGTGAGATGAATATTCTCTGCATTTAACAAATGGAAAATTAAGAATAAATAAAAAGATCTTTTGTTATTTTTAATAACAAAGCTTAAATATAGAAAGGGTAAGTCCGACATGTATAATATCCGAATTTAATAAATAGAAATGAAATAAGTGACCAAGATCTTATGCTTTTTAATAATAAAGCTTAAATGCAGAAAGTGAGAAAGTCCGAAATGGATAATGCAAACATTTAACAAGTAGAAAAAGAGGAAACTATAAAGGGTCCGTTTTTTTTTAAATAATAATAATAATAAGGCTTATATACAAAACGTGATGTAAGTCCGACATGTATAATGATCACATTTAATAAACAGAAACGAAAGAAACGGAAAAAAATATCTGCCTTTTTTTTTAAAAAAAAATAAAGAAGCTTAAATACAAATAAATAAATAAATAAATAAAAGAAAATAATAATATTTTTTATTGTAAAGTTTATTAGAAGCTATATTAATTATAGGATAAATTACACGGATTAAATAATTTTTTCATTTATAATAAATAAATGTAAAAATTGACGTAATTTACTTCATTGTAAGTTTCCTTCCACAATCTAGAACGTATATTGAAAATCACTTGGTCCCCTTTTTCAAGAGTGGATATGGTGCAACGAATTTTAGTGCATAAAGTAGGTCCACAGGACTGGAAAAAAAGGTTAAAGGAATTAGTTATATATTTAAAACATTATCTAGTTTACGATCAATTTGTCTAATTTAACTTCTTAGTTTTGCATAAAAATTAACAAATGTCCATATTAAAAAACAGTAAAGAAATTTTTACTTTTTGAGTCTTTTTACTTTATTAAACAACAACTGCCTTTTGCAGTCTTTGTTATAAACACATAATTAATAAATAATTGGCATAATAATAATTAATAATACATTAAAGGTGCTGATTACAGAGGAGAGGACACTGCATGATGAAATGAATGGATTTAACTTGATTAATAAAAATTAAAACAGAGATTACCAGTTCTTCTTGGAATGTATTAAGTCCTTCATCGCTCAGAAAATGATCTTCACCTTCATCAGACATATCTTCATAGACATCATATTCTTCATTATCTCGCTTTTTCCTGCGAATTGTATTCTCTGCCTTCTTTTCAGTCTCNCTGAAATTAGGTGTGTTGAACCTGATTGGCTTCTGGATCGACAAATGCCCCGATTTACCAGCAATGACGTCACTTACAGGAATCCAATTGTGGAAATATTAAAAGAAAAATTTAATCTGAATATAATAATTTTCGCAATTTTATCTAGAGGAACGAAATTTTATTTGCTTTTGTCTTATTAGATTAGATTGAGTGCTTACTTGACAATAGAATAAAAAACCTTATTAGCTTTATAATATAAATCGAAAAAGGCCGTCATGTTTTGAGCACCCCAGCAAGAGGTTTTTACCCAAGAGGTTTTACCGTGGTGTACGTAATGTCATTGTTTCATTGCTATTTACACTGTCACATCTTTAAGAAAGAAAATGATGCTCCAGCGCTTGAAACATGTCAACCTTTCGATTGCAATGATGATGTATATACATATTTTCACATCAAATATTGGATTGGCAAAAAAGCAATTTCGATTTTTTAGTGTGAAATAAAACTCAATTCTTTGTATGCCAAAAGGAATTTTGATCAGCATACCGCTCATGGGCTGCAATAGTCGCACAACTAAAAAAACACGCGTTTTGGATTAAGAACAGGTGTAAATAGGAAAATACACATTCTTTTCAGCAGCAATACTAGCAAACTCATAATTCAACTCGAAGGTAACCTTCGTTTAAGCATTTCTTAAGCATATTCCTTTGCAATGAAAACTATAAACCCACTTATCTCAAAACATGATTTTTTGAGTTGTGCTGCTATTGCAGCCCATGAGCGATATTTCTTCCATTTTGTTTGATGACCTTTACCCCTCTTTCTGATAACTTTACGATTCTGCGCTCATTCAGGGCCTCTGATCCTTTATCAGCAAAAAACTCAATAAGTGCAATAGTCATTGGTATAGCTGAACGTTTTAAGATTAAAAAAAAACAAGCAAACAAAGGAAATTTCGAAATAAGTGGTAGTTTAATTGTGCAAGTTTGGGGCTCTATGGGGGATGAGACATCCCTCTTCAGTTGAGCTCGAATAATTCCCAATGTAATGCTAAGGATTTGTAAGACCTTGCATAATCGTGGTAAATTTCTAATCCTTTGCGATATCTCACACAGCCCCGAACTTGCACCACCGTTATTATATAATTACCTGCAAATTCAGTGGGTTAACATCAACTTTTTCACACTGTGCATTCCCTCTTACTTCTGGTTGATCCATCAAATAAAGAAGTGATTTTTTTTCTAATGTGTATGTGGGCCACAATATATACACTTCAGCCTGCTGTATTGAGCTTGGGCCTTGGTTCCCAATCTGTTCAATTGAAAAAACGTTTTACAAATAAAGAACAAATCAAAGATAAGGAACTAGATCAAGTTTTTTAGAGCTTAAATATAAATGTACTAAAACGGTAAAATTTATGTAAATATAATTGATTTGCAAACAACTCCCTTCTGGCAAAGGGATACTTAATTTAGAAATAGTGTATGTTTCGTACACTTTAAGGTTGTTTGCATTCTTTAGACATTTCAAATTTTTTAGTTATGATAAATTTTCTGCTTCATTAAAAAAAGGAATATGCAAGAAAAATATTTTCAATAATTCAGAAGGGCAAATAATTTCAATCATAATGCTTGCCCATCTGGTAGTTTTTTTTTAGCTTGCTTACTCCTATACATACTTTAGCTTTATTTCTGTAATTAATAACAAAAATCGAAGAGTGTTTGTCTAAGTTTAGAAAACTCGTTTATTATAGGATAAGTCACGAAAATTTTTTTTTTTTAATGATTATTGATTGTTATTTTTACGCCAATTCGCTCAAGGAAATGTTTTTTAATTACAAAATATGTAATAATCTACATAATTTAAAGTAGACAATATGACAAGCCATCCTCTGAAATTGAGGAAAAAAAAGGTGTTAAAAGTTGTTAAAAAATAAAAATTAAAAAACTAAAACTTTTTGGGGCAAATATTTAACTAATTTCATCCACATTTTTGATTTTAGCATTTAAAACGTTACAGATCAACCAAACGTAAAAATTTTCCACCGTTTAATTAATACTTATAATTATTATTAAAATAAATATAGAATAATAAATAGGGTCGTAAATATTTAAAAATAATAAATATTAGCTGGATTAAACTGAATATAGTCCTTAACTGCCGTCTCTTAACTTTTTTCACCTTTCCTTTCGTACCATAAATGAACTGATTTTAGTGTTTATATAAGGTACTGTTGTTAAACTCGATAATGCTGAGTCAGAGTTTGATAACGTTTTTCACCCACCCCCCTCATTTAAATGCCGATTTCCCAATTAAATGCAATGAATTGTATAACTAACTATTGTATGACATGCTATTAAACTTCGGATGCAGTATATTTTGCTGAACTCTACACAATTTCATCAATAAAGCAAGAAAAGTGCAGTCGTTTTTTGGTTTAATTTGAAATATAAATAAGAGTGTAAAAATTGATATCTATAGTGAAAGAATTTTTACTATGTACAGCAGATATATATTTTTATACAATTTAGTTATTTGAAGGAAATTGTTTTGTTTTCCATGAAAAAACTGCCATATGAAGGCAGAAACGTGCATGAAAACTCATCTAGATATCTTTAAATATGTATGATTATATTGTACAATTATGTAATTTTGGTAATTTTTTCAATTGCCTGTTATATTGTTATTTACATACGTACAAGAACTTGCGAGATGATACGTGAAAAAGCGAAATTTTTCTTTTAAATTTGTATATAAGTATCCGTGAATGAAAATCCGATCTTGAAACAAAATGTTTTACATTACATTTCGCTGCGACATCGCATCAAATTATAGAAACTTTTTTGAAAAAATGACTTGGGTTTGTTTTAAATACCGCAAAACTGAAATTAGAAATATTTAACTCCAGAAATATGTCCCGTGCAATGTGCAATATAACACCCCGTGGCGTAAAAAATAGACACGCCAATAGCATGTTCTGAATATTTGGTATGACATCAAAGGTTAAAATGATTAAATAAAGTTACTCTTTGTCATACCTCATAGACATGTATGACTTCTGGTCCGACATCAGTCTCACGAACTTTCACCTCAACAAGCTCCTCAGATTTGTTGTAAGTAATCACTTCAGGAAGGGAAACTCTTAAAAAACAAATACAACATTAAAGAATCAATCATTGATTCAGACTTTAAATAATGAATTACAGATTAAATAAATAAACGAGTAACTCAAGCATTAATAACCGGTTCAAATAAATTGGACAAAAAGTTAGTAGAGTTTTAATTCCAAAAGTTGCAGAATCCACTTTTTCTAATATTGCTTTACAAGAAATTTTGCCTATTAATTACCTATTTTAGACAGATATGGTGAAAAAAATTCATTTTTCCGTTTTATGGCCTGATTTTATTAATTTTCCTCTCAAATTCAATTTTATTTCCTTAAAATTAAGAAAATTATTAGACTTTATATCGTAATTTTGAATTTTTAAATCATTTTAAATTCTGTAATATCTCACATGATATGGTCTGGAAAATGGACTGATATGAACTTTACTCAGCGTTATTTATTGGCGATCAGTATTTATTAATTAAATAAATATGAATATCACGTCGATATAGTAATTTTTATCGGAAATGATTCTTGATATAGTAAGTAAAAAACGTTAGATAAAGAAGTAAAAAACGATGGAAGAAATTAAGCTAATCAATGTATTGTCAAAACAGTGAATTAATCAACGAATATGTTTGTAAATAATAAAAAGATTATAAACTTATATATTGTGGTATGGTAGCTCTTTCCTTATTAGTACATTATAATTAAGTTTATTAATTAATTAATTAAATTCATACTTTAATTTGATTGAGAAAATTAGTATTAATTTTTTAAGCAAAATACGTTTCAATTACAAAATAATGTAAGCACCGTTAATTTTCTTAAACCAAAATTATTGAATTAGAATTAAATTACTTCTTATAAAAGTCAACTCGATTCTAAATACTTTTTTTTACGAAAACAAATAGTTTTTAAGAGGAGGATCAAGTAAATCAGGGATCTCCGTTTTTACAAAAAACATTTATAAAATTTTTAAAGCCTAGGTTTGGAATATTTTACATCTCCCATGTAAGAATTGCTGGGAAAAATCAAAATTTGATTGGAAACAAAACAATTTATTTACATAAATATCAACTTATAAAAAGCTTATCGACTTATCAATTTATGAAAAGCTTAGCTTAAGAGCATGTTAAAAGCATCATTTTGAAAATAAATAAATTTCAGGTGTTTAAAAGTATGTTTTGGTCTACCATGGACAAGCAAAGATGTTAAATAACGTGGTTTTAAATGGAAAATAGCTTATTTGCAAATAGCATTTTAGCATTTTGTAAATATCTTTCAGATGTTTCCTATATACGAATTTATGAAATTAATTAAATCAGCATTTGTATTTCTACTAAACACTTGCAATAAGTAGCATTTGTTTTTCAAATATAAAATGTAATTGAACTAAACTGAACATTTTACTTACCCTCTCACTGCTAATGCCACTTCCACGCGAACAGGCAATTCAATTTCATACACATTATTGAAAAGTGTGTCATTTTTCTCAGGATTTGTGCTGAAATTTGAAATAAAAGAGCATAAAATTAGCACAAATTTATAAGCACAAATTTATAGAAAACCAACTATAACAAATTCAAACTTATGTTTATTAATTTTTATGAATGCAATCAGTGACGCATTAAAAATAAAGCGAAAATTTCAGCAGTTTTTTTTTTCCATTTACAAATGCCTCTTAATTAATTTATCGTTTTCTTTTAGGATACCTATTTTAGTATAAATGAACGATTTCTTTTTATGCTGTTTTTGAAATATGTTTATAAATTAACATTTTAGAAAACTTAAAAATTTACCAAGTTTTTATTATTTTATAATGTTAGGCGAATAAAAGGGCACCGAAAAAAAAAACACTAGGAAAAAAAGCACCAAAAAATCTCTTCTTGGGATATATCATTACTAAGTTAGATTAATTTTGCTTAAGTACAGAGTTTCATTGTTATTATTTTCCATATTTCATTAAATAATTTCAATTAATGCTTTTACAATGGCATATTTATTAGAAACTAATGCTTTAACTCATTTCAATAGCAATGATTCAAAATAATAATCGCTTGAGGGATTTTATTTGTTTAGTTATTGTTGTCACTAATGGCACTTGCCAACATCTATGGGATACCAGGGGAATTTTTAAGGCAGCGGATGCGTTTCTTGTTTTTCAGTGGCTCTATTCATGGCCAAGAATACGACTTTCGCTATACACACGTCACAGCCCGTTTACAGGGGGGACCCATTCATACATCCATTCATTCATCCGCGGATAGTAATTTTGACCTGAACTAGAGAACAATCAATCACTAATTCAGTACCTTCAGAGGTATTAATTTGCTTGGTAATTTGGAGAAATTAGTGACCCCGGTGGGTTTAACGTGCACCAGTCGCCATTTAATACACAGGATTCTTCGAACTCGCACTCTCACGAACACAAGCCCATCGTCCTACCATCTAGGATTTCTGTCTTTCAGTACGTTTATTAAATGGGTATTTCCGAAATGTTGTTATTGCTTTTCAGATGATATTTAATTTTAATTTGCAAAGTATAGTTCATAAAATAATTATTAAATTCGATTTAAACATTAAAAAAATTTTCTTTTCTAAAAAAGTATTTAAAATATGTTTGTTACTTAAACAGTTTTTTATTTTTGCTGGAATTAAGTTCACCTAATTATAAAGTAATACTTATACCTCAACACTAATTAAAATAAAAAAGAAAAATGTTACAGTTACTTAATTCAGACTGCATTTTTAGCTTAACATCAGTTCCATTTTGATTATACTTGCTCTCTTAAAGAGCAAAACTTGTTTAAATAACCAGTTTCATTACTTGTTCACACCTACTCCTTTACTTACTTTAGATTGAAAATCTAAAAGTGCACTTATATTGATAGTAAGGTCATGCCATGAACATTAATCGAACTTCAGATATCATAAAACAGTCGTAAAATTTTTAAAATTCTTCACATCAAAGTTTAATGTTTCTGATTTATTATGGTACTAGTCGCCTTAGGTGTCCAACTAAGTCACCTATCAAAATTATCTTGCACAACATAAAAACTTTAGAAGTAACGTATATAAAAGTAAACTCATATAAATATTCTCCTCTTACGCATATGCTCTACTCATATACATTTAATTATTTTTGAAAAAAATACCCTACATTTAAGTTTGCAAAATGTTTAAGCATTCACTTTTTTTTTAAACAACATAATTTTTGAGTAACGCTACATAATCACTCAGATTGTCAAGCAAAGAAGAATGCAAATTGGAATAAAAATGAAAATTAATTACCTATTAACAGTCATGGTAAATACCAAGTCACTGGTAGAAGAAACTACTCTAGATGGCTCCAGTAAAATTTTAAAATTTAGCTGAAAGCAAAATATTGATTTCAATAAATAATGAACATTTATGAAATGTATAAAGTTTAGATATTTATCACAGTTATGTTTTAAAATTGAACTAAATAAAGCGAAGTATTGAATTTAATAAATGAACGAAGCAAAATTAAAGCTTAAAATTATTTAGTTTTGGTCATTTATTATAATTAGCTTAAAATTAAATATTTATTGAATAAAATACATAACTTTAAAACATAAAAAAAAAATTACCAAATGCAAGGAATTCTAACATTTGTCACCAGAGTTTCACTGCAAAAAATAGAAGTTTTTTTTCTTCCAGAATCTCTCCGTGTATTTAACGGTTTTAAGTCGGTTTGTTGAAGAAAGAGTTTTTCTCCGTTTTTCAATCACAATCACAAACGTATTAAAATCATCAGTTGAAATTCCAGTTTTTGCCATGCAGTTTTGCGTTCCGTAATATATCATAACCTTTTCTTCAGTCACTTTAAGATTATTCTTTGTCCTTGCTCCTATTTTTCAGTAATAACTCTTTATGGTTTTGAACATTGCATTATTTGACTTTATAATCAAATTGATACAATATCGAAATGAAATTCCCACGATCACCATTTCTTCACAATAAAACACTTAGGGCTCAGTGGCTCAGGGAACAGATCGCGCACCTTCCAATGAAATGTTCCAAGTTCGAATCTCAGCGATGACTGGTGGATACAAACTCTGCCGACATAAAATATCGGACGCTAGTGCTGATTTACTTTGTAACTTTCGCAGAGAAATGCTTTTTCCATATGGTAAGAGTCTGTAGAGACAACAGATTTAATTTTTTTGTGAAAACTTGTATTTTATTACAGGATTTTTTTTACTGAGTGTAAAATAGATTTAAAAAAATGGATTTCAATAAATAAACAATTACTCAAAAAAAATAATAAAAATAGATTATTCGATTTAAATATAAATTATTCAATCATTAAAATAACAAAAATAATTATGAAAAAATCAATTTTATAATTATCGAACAAGAATAATTGATGACAAAATAATTAATTACACACCGTTTTATTGGCTGGCAAAGGATTGCCAATATCACATTTTAATTTATTCTCCCCTGTTATGTCTGGTTGAGCTCCACTGCAGCCAATGGGAAAATCCTGCAAAACAAAACAATGCAGTTATTTCTTTCGTAAATAGAAATGCTTAACATAGTTTCAAATAAAATAATGTATTAAGATTTGGGTTTATTTTATTTCCAATACAGTTATTAGTTATATGAACTGTGTTGAATTATATTATTTGAAGATTTTATTATTCTAAATCTACCATTTTCATAATATATGCCAAGACAAAACGCAAAAATTTCACACACAAATAGCTCTAACAAACGCATTACTACCATTTATTTATTATTATTTTACAAGTCAATAAAGCTTTGAAAATATCTGTCCATTGTTTAATACTATTACACATTATTATTGAGTTAAATCATCAGATTTATATAAATGAATTTAATAAAAATCCAGAATGATCCAAATTTGACTGAAATTCTTTCATTTGATTTACTTAAACGAAAAAACAGTAAATTTTTTTATCATATAAAGATATTAAGCTTTTAACCAACACATCTTAGAAGAGAGAAGGCCTCAGCATGGATTGCAATAAAAAAGAAATTTGATCCTTTGGAAGTCCAAACATAAAGACATCTTCCGTAATCCCACACTGCGCAGCTGAGTAACCAGAACGTAGTAACATCTTTCTTATTTTTTCCACCATTCCATAATTTATGATCGTTGCGTCGGACTACTAAATTGATACGTGCTGAAGCCTTCTCTCTTCCAAGAGGTGTTGTTTTAACAGTCTCTAACATAATGATAAGGAGTTGTCTAATTATAGTACATAGAGAAGTCAGTTGACTTACAAGTTTAGAACGTTCTATGTTAACGTAGTTAACATCAAGTGGCATGGTTACATGAAGCATAGATTCAAAGGCGTCTTCTCCACCATTTCTGATAGTCATATCAAGTTCCAGACGCTTTTTAGTTCCGATTGAATATTGTTCCATGTTTCTGAAGAAAAAAAAGGAAACCTATATAATTTGAAGCTAATTTGAATTAATTACACCAATTTTAAATTTTTAATTTTAAAATATGATATTTATCTAAATTAACTCTAAATTAACATATTTAAGTTGATAATTTTGGATTCGTATGGTAAGAATTACTATTCAAAATAGCGGAAATAAAAAGAACACAGAAAACTCAAGACTCGCCAGACTTGTATGAGAAGAAAAAAAAAAAGTGATTTGAAAAATGAAACGTTAAGTGGCCAATCTCATTTACGTTTGGTAAATCTTGGGCATTTATACAAATACTACATCATGTCTAATTCGGGTTTAATGAATTTAAAATCTGAAATCAATTTTGTTTTTTAAAAAATGAAATTTTTAGTCTGTTTTTTGTCTAAATGCAGCACGGGGAAGCATTCAAGTGTGGAGATTTCAAATCTAAAATTATTTTGTTCTTACGAAAATTTTCTAGGAGTTAAGTCACACCATCAGGATTAAAAGTATATAAAAGCCCATGCCCGATAGTGTCGTCGTATGCGGCTTGGGTCGCTTCTCTTTTATGATCCATTCAGAAACACACAAGGAAACAGTTCATAATAGAGAAGTGCTTTTAGAAGTGCGTATGATGACAGTTCTGAGCATGGATTCCCATGCAATTTTATTTCTTGGAAGTTGTCGCAACATTTATGCGACCCTCTGTTATATCTACGTTTATAAACGTGTACATTTTGATAAAAAAAAATAGATGAAATGTGCGTTTAAAAATTAATTGGAGAAAGAAACTGATTGCAGTTTTGAATTTAACGATACAAAAGTATCTAAGACCTGTTAAAAAATTTTCCAACTACAGAAATTTTTTTCTTCTTCCTAGTGTTATTGAACAATATTTACATTGAAATTTAATGATACTATCCTATAAGAAGGGTAAACAAGGACTAGTTATCGTAATGATGTGTAACAACTTGGCACATTATTAAGGCTGAGGCAGGTGAATCGATATTATGTTAAGCACGCTTAAAACTTTCTGACGGTTCACATATTTTTCTACTTTAAAAAAAAACTATGTTTCTAAAATGAGTATCATTTCAATTTAGAGAACATTAGACAGGCTTTGGTAGAGCAGAGTTGGTGTACTTTTGAAAATTTATTCTATTGTATAATGGTAAAGAATAAAAAACCATAATGAAGTCCCTTTTTACCGTAAAATATTATACAGTTATTTTCACAGTCATGTTTATTTAATTAAAGTTATTAAGTGATTTTGCGATAATTATCACTGTAAAAAATACGGTACATCGTATTTCTTGATCCGTAACATGTTCCGATAAAAATCGATTTTATGGTAAAAAGTACTGATACTCTGAGTGTTTGTTCTTTTTACCTTAATTGGATCCGGAATTTTTTGACAGTGAAGAAAGAATTTGAATAGTAAAAACATATAAAGTTTGACTTACGGAACTGCAAATAACTGTAAATCTGGAATACAAACATCATCTTTACCGCAATTCTTTTCTATGTTCAACTAAAAAATAAAAAATTATTTGTTAGAAAAAACAAACTGAACGAATCTTAAAAGCTATTTATATGGGGGCACACAAATCAAAATAAATTGGTTTTAAAAATAAAATCGATACATTTTTATTTATAAATGCTGATTAATTTTATCCAAATATTATAGATTTAATTTTATGGTTATAATAGTATTTTTAATTTACTTTATAATTTATTTTTGTGTTTATGCTTAAATTGTATTAAAATGAACGTTCATAAAACTTATTACTTACCTCATTGGTTGCTGCAGTTTGAACATTTTTGTTCAAAATGGGTTTCAAAAAATGTCTGTAAGGCTCCAGATCTATAAGTTCATAACTGGCTTTTATTTCGATTGGAGATAATTTGTCTCGGATGGCATTCTGAAAGCAAGAACAAAAAATTTATAATTTTTAATTGCAATAAATGTTAACAATTTCTACTTTCTGATAATAATAAGAAAATTCACAATTCTTCTTCATTTGCGCGATAGCCCTGGGTGGGCCCTGGCTTTCTCTAGGAGTCTCCTCCTACTGTCACTTTATTTCCTCCTATTGTCCCTACTGTCCTTGCATTCTGATTAAATGTCCAGCATATTTTAATCTTTGTATTCTTATATACTTGACAACATCAGGCTTACTTAAATTTATAGATAGCTTTGAGTTAGTTCTTCTTCTCTGTAAGTCGTTTGCCGGAATTTCGTATGACACTTTTCCCAATAATTGCAATCGCCTCCTCGTCTTTTGACGTCAGTGCTCAGGTTTCAGAAGTATAAGTCACGGCAGGTCTTTTAAGAGTTCAAAATCATAATTAATTAAGCTTAATTTTGTATTTATGCATTAGAACTTATTTTGATAAAATATGTACAAATGTATAGATTTCAATTTTTCTTTTTTGAGAAATATTTAAATATCTAAATATTATTGAAGAACTCTTAAATATTTTAACATCTCAAAATAGCATTTTTATATATACAGTTAGATAGATATTATATACAATAGTAAGACATATTTATCTAGAATCACAGAGGAAAAAAAACACAGATAAAAAGCACCTAATAAACTATTATATAAATTTAACGTCTGTTTCGCTTCGGGCAGTTGAATCCAAATTTATTGAAATTAATTATTCACGTGCAATTATATTTTTATTTAAAATATTATTAATATATTATTATATTAATATAAATATAAAATAATATATCAATTAATATACTAAGAAAAATTTACGATTCATTGAAAAGTTTTTTAGTAGTTCATAAATTCTTGCTTCCTTTTTTTAAATTTAATTAATATACAAAGTAAAATTTGCAATTGACTGAAAAGAGCTTTTAATAGTTTATAAATTTTTGACTTTTACTGAAATTACATAATATATAATATTGCTAAAAATAATGTATCAATTAACAATAACCTTTCAAGGAATTTATCTCTTGATAAGTTGAAAATATTAGTAAAAGTGATAAAGCATATCATTAAATATATTTTTTGAAAAAGCAAGAAGTTACAGTTTTTGAAAAGTGATTAAGTAATTTTCTTCTTGCTTTTCTCCCCACATCTTTTTCCATGCTTTTTCTGGACTTTTCCCGGCGGTCTTCTTCCCGACCACTATTTATCTATTCTTTTACGTAATAACATATTATATTGTGAAAAAAATGTTCTCAAGGCTACTTATTATTAAAAAGAGTTATCAAAGCTAAACAAAAAAGAAAGCTAAACAAACCTGAATAAAAATTTTACTCTTATTGCAGTATTGCACATCTTTTTTAAGACGTATAGTCTGCGTCCTATTTGATACAATGTATGGATTTGCATCTAAAAATAACGCACGGGCACTTTTTTGCTGAGCATCAGTCATGAAAGTATAAGTCAGATCTGCAAAATTTAATGTTTGTAAAAATGATGAAAAGAACAAAATTTTTACATTGTTAAAAAATATATTTAATTTTGTCAATCTATTATAAAAATTCGAAAAATCCATAAATTACATACCTATTTCAGAAGCAACTCCGATTCCATTATAACTTAAACAAAGAGTAGCTTCTATGCTGAAAATAAATGATATATAAACAGAATTTAAAGGATACATACAGTAAAATTATTGAATAATTATATATAT